GTGTGCCCTACTCCCAAGAGAGGCATTTTTTAGACTATCAAGAACAAATTACATTGGGCGCTGTGTGAACAATGGTCCTCAGTTTACCCTCCCTGAAATAATAAACGGTGCGGCTGTGTTAAACGACTTTCAGTCATGCTCAGGATCCTGTCAACAAAGAAATATTTGTAATCTTGGCTCAATGTAGCCTGATTTCTGCATGGTTTTTACTAATACTGCACATGAAAGTGCCTATTTGCGTGTCAAAATTCTCAAATGAGTACCGAACCAGATGAACTTTGTTAGACGCCGGTTGTCTATTTCTGTCAGTTAGTGGTATTTTCGGCTACCGAACTACTTGAGATAACTCTCTAGGTTATCAGAACGCACTTGGAACTCTTCAACTTTGGAAAAAAGAGAGTGACTTTTCATGTTCGTTTAGATTCTTGGCATTTTTTGTGTTTCCATATCAGAGGCTGTTTTATTTTTGCTCTAGTCAAACTGTTATTCGATTAAAGTGAAGCGGAAGGCCGTCTGGGTTAATATCTCCAGTGTCTGCGACGTGGTGAAGCAAGAGTTTATTGTAAAGGCTTGTGACATGGCAGGGTGCAGATCCATAGTGGCCTCTGACATACAGTCTACCGAGTGTAGAAGTTGGTTTCACGACTATTGCACAAGCCTCACGCTGTTAGCATACAAGAGGTACGGTAACACAGGGAGTGGCTGAGTGGCGTATCGCGCCGGTTGGATATTTTTATATGATGCTGAGAGAGGCAAAAGGCTTCTGAATACGGTAACGAGATAGCCAGAATCTATAGGGAAGTCTATAACTATAACAGTGATAACGAAACAGCATTCATTGACACGGAGATCGCAGTGCAAAATTTTGGGAATGTCCCACGACAAGCTGCGTTTCATGCGCGTAGACTGCCTACTAGGCGTGCTGACAGCAACCTAGGAGAGACCACAAAAAGTAGGGTGAGGCAGTTATCTTCAGGTTCCCGCATCCCAGAGCTGGCAGACTTAGTCTGGAAACTATCGACCGTGAGACTAGGTCAACCTTCGATAAAAAAGAGCAGAAATGAGGCACTCTCACTGTCGACCACTGTCCCACGCAGGCTGCATGTGATACTCAATTCGGCGACCGTATCAGTAACGGAAACTACACAGGGTGGGATGCAAGTCCGCTCTGAGACTGCCAGTGGTACAGCCGTTGGACTAGGTCTTAGTAGGCTTTATCTACATGACTCTGAGAAATGACAAGTAATCAAGTCTAAACGGCACACCAAGAAGCCAGTGGGGGCCATCAAACTGGCAGTTATCACTCCACGGAGTAACGAAAACGCAGAGCTGCTTGGTAGGTCCTTAGTCTTCCACACAGTGGAAGAAAGTATGGACCCAGAACCACGTAGACTTTTTGAGTATAGCCTTTGCAAATCACGGAGTTCGCTTGGCCGGCTTTTACCATAAAACATGCCAGGAGTCCCCTTAGTCAAGATATACAGAGTGGGAAACAGGATACGGTTCCTATTGTAGACAAGCTACCGTTACTTAAAGTCGTGTCCAAATTATCAGAGGAGAGGGATCCGATTCTGAGCAACGCTCGCAGACTTCAAGGATACATAGTGTTCGTGAGAAAAGATTTGGCTCCTTCCGATTAAATCAGAAAACGAGGAGAAGCAGAAACGAAACCAGATTGGCAGCTGGAGATCAAGATCCGAAATTAGTAGGTCTCAGTAACAAATGATGCCGAGGCCTCCATGGATAGGACTGAAGCTTGTTCAAGTGGTTATATTGCCTTGTGCACAAATGACCCGAGCTTAGTAATGTGGTAAGTATAGAAAATCTTGGCATCACTGCTATGTCAAGAACCTGGCTCTCCTTTTGGACAAACGATTACGAGACACGAGAATTCGTCCTTCTTAAAAGTGACAGGCAAGTGCCGTCATATGTGTTAGGGATACCCTGACCGTAAAACCGTAGAAACTGTCGCAAGTGAAAATTTGGCAAGTGAAATGTCGCGTTCCCGGCTAAAATGCAAACAGACAAGATGTTAACGTAATTGCGGTATTTTGAAGCCTTGAATTTGAGGCGGCAGATTCCCCCTGAACAGGCTGGCCCAATGGATAGATAATTGTCGACGCCTAGCTGTAAGAGACTTCAATGCACTATCAGTCGACTGGGATAGGCTGACAACAGAAGCATCCCGTAACTCGCTCGGTCACAGGTTAGTGGAAACATCAATTTCCTTGGTCCTTATACAGCACATTAAGATAGCAGTCAGATATGATCATCATCTTGCTGCATCAGTTCTGAACTGGGTATTCTCACAATAGATGACATATGCCCAATCTGGCACCTTGTACCCCTGGTAAAACTGATCATGCTGTGACCATCTTCAGGCTGTCAGTAGCCGTCTTGTACCTGGCAGATGCCCCAGGTAGGCGCAGTGCATGTAGGGCAATTACGGAAGCCATTAACATAGCAGGCCCTTCGGAGGACTGGACAGTCGACCTAGGAGCCTTAGTGGAGTAGACTGTCCCTAGGTGAAGGCACACTCCAGTGTGATTGGAAGGAAACCATAGTTACAGCAATCTACAAGAAAAGTTTTAGGCAGCTTCCGTCAAATTAAAGACGGACAAGCTTGCTTAGTGCCGTAGTAAACAACGTAGAAGCGGTAATCAAGAAGGTCATCACAGTTCACTTAGGGAGCGATACTCCATTACCTCATTCGCAGTATGGGTTTAGTAGAAATTTCGCTGATTTGAAGAACCTCCTTGCAGCCAGTTGGGCTGTCAAAGATGATACGTTACCTGTAGATGTCATTTTCACTGGCTTTAGTAAGGCGTCCGACAAGGCATCTCACTGCTGATAGCTAGAGAAACTGGAAAGTTCCGGAATTACCGGCAGTCTGCTTCAGTGAATAGGAGAGTTCCTCGTTGGTAGGGGACAAAGAGTAAGGATCAATTCCCAACTCTTATCTTGAAAATTGTTAGGAAGCAGTGTTTGAAGGCACAAACTTGGAACCCATGTTATCTCTCCTATACCTAAACGAGCTGCTAAATATCACGAAATCCCTTATGGTTCTCTAAGCTAATGATGTAAAGTTCTAGCGCGAAATTAGGGGTGATAAGGATGTATGTGTACTTCGAACAGACTTAAAGAGAATGGTTATCTGGTCAGAGAAGTGCCTGATGCCTATCAATACAGACAAATGTGTGAGCATGGAAATACTGCATACAGATAGCAACAGCTGCGATATTAGCGCGATTCCCCCACCCTCAATACTAACTCACAATTACCTAGAAGTCACAGTGAGCGATGGCATGGAGACCGAGGTGAACTGTCAACTGGTCGCAGCTGGAAGTTTGAGGACACTGGGCTTTACGAAGATATTGTATAGTAACAAGTGGTCGTATGTTCACCCTGTAATGCATGTTTGTAGCATCACACACTTCCCCAAATCAATAGCCTAGGGTTCGACGACTTTCGACAGTCATGCTGACCTTGACAGTTTAACTGGACTCTCCAAGCTGAAGGCACCCGGTCAAGCTTCCTCGCCACTTGGCACGCTGTCGTGTTATGTCGTACTGCTCATACTCGACTGTCTAGCCAGTTATTTGGAACGCATCGGTATCTTGGCACAACCATCGAAATAAGCTATTCCATCCGACTACGCTATCGTGTTCTTCCTTGGTCTCGTATTCGTGGGTAAATAACTAGCCCGAATAATTAGTGATTGGTCTTTGCGTCTGTCAAGTTTGCACCACGACGAATCCTAAGATATCCCAAAGACATATCAAAACCCCTTTTAGTTTATATGAATTCGTTCGAATTTCTTTTGGATTCATGAACGCCGCTCAAACATCTGAACATTTCATAGACCAGGTTCTCCGCAGACTTTGTTTTTTCATATCTGCATCAAAGACTTGCTCAAAGTTAGCTCAGACCAGAAAGAACACAAAAATCAATTCAAAGCCGTTTTCGAAAGACTTGATAAATATGAAATGACGAATAATCTTAATCGATATGCATTTGGAAAGAGTTCACTGATTTTCTCAGGACTTTTTGGTCAACAAACAAAGCCTTCTCTCATCCTTTAAGCACCTATTAACAATACATTTCCAGCTTGAAAGGTCAAATGAATTCAATACCCATCAGTACTTGGGATTAACCTGTCGTGTATACTATTCCATCCGACTACGCTATAGTATTCTTCCTTGGTCTCGAATTTGTGGCTATATAACAAGCACGAATAATTAGTGATTGGTCTTTGTGTCTGTCAGGTTCGCACCAGGACAAATGCTTTACGTCCTTAGTTTAGTCTAAATTTGAAAACCGTACGTAGTGGGCATATCCTAGCCTAAAAGTTGACTTCGACACTCTGAAAGGAGTTCAGAGTTGATTGATCTACTCTCGGAACTTTCTCCCTGAATGAGCGGTGTGCGCATCATACATTGAGCGGTTTAAATTGGGATTAGACGCGCACAGAGAGCACAGGGAAGAGGATAGACAGGCTTGCTGCCTCTTACCTTGAAACAAAAACATTGTATGTGAGCAAATTTGAATTCTTATTTGAATACGTAGATTGAAATCTCAAAGTTAGTTAATGAAGTTTTGTCAGAATGCAGGAATGAACAACAAGAATTCAGTACTATTTAAACGAATAGTCGAACTGTAGCTGGTGTCAAAACACTGATAACTCTTTGGTCAACTGGTCAATAAGGTAGAAGGAAATAGAGGATACTACTACAAATGTATTTCAGCCGTTATATGTATTTTCAAAATTTAATGTGGTACATGAAAGTAATTGTTAACAGACATTAAGTTTCGAGTAAAATCTTAGCTAGAATTATTCGAATAAACAGCTTGCATGTGACAGAAGAGCGTATAGGCTGTGATAATGCGGTTCATGATCAAGCATTGGGATTTGTTTTAAATTGTAGCTGGTTTAAGGTCATTGGTTGAACTTAAAAGTCCATAACAAGTAATCGCGTTTCATTTTCTGTTGCACGTCACAAATGTCATGTCGCCGAAGAAGCCGTCGTTATTCGAGTCAGTTGGACGATCGGTTGCTAGTGAGTTGTGAAACTGGATGAAGGAAACCTGTATCATTATTGTTACTAGGACTGTCTTTGAAATAATATGGAAAAGCCATAGAATAATTTAATAATATTTGTCATTAGTATTCTTTGTCACTTTTCAGCGGTTAACGATGCTGATGAACTGTAAAATAATTGAAAAATTTTCTTGATAGTGGTTTATACATGAATCTGAGTGAATTCGCTTTTTCTGAGATCACCTTACATACTTTTTATTCTTGTGCGTTATAATAGGAATTCAGTCTCACAGGTATTAGTTATGTATTCACTTCATCATGTTGACGAAGTCTGTTGCATACATGAAGATGCCATAAGGTGTGGGAGGTATCTGCCGTACAAGAGAGTTCCATTAATTCAAGAGTTCGTCAAAAGGTATGACCTTAAAAATCGTGAGCTGGTTAAAGGGCTTGTTTAAGACAAACCCCAGTTTATAGAACACTGAGATATATTAAAAAGTGATCAAATGAAGGCATTGGTCTTTAATTAGTATGGGACAGGGTTTTACGAAATCTTTACCCTTTAACATAGTGAAAGACGTTGTCACTTTAGTTGTGCGTCAAGAAATGTTACAGTACTTATCTGATATCTAAAAGTGTGACAGTGCATCAGTTTCTTACTTGAAATGTAGTGTGAAATTAATTCATATGTAAGTATGAACTTGTGGTGACTCCAATGTACCGTTTTGCACGATCAATATGTTATTCTTCAGCAATTTATTGTTTTTGTTACTGTGGAACTCTTTTGCGGTCGTTAATTTTTGTAAGTAAGGTTGTTCTGTTTTTACTTAGAATTGTGTTATCTTTTAAGTGTTATTGGCGAAAAAGTTCGCATCCTTTTGACTTGAGTGTTAGGCTTGCATCTACAATAATATCATTTCACTTCTGAGGAAAATCTCTTCAGTACTCTAGCTCATTTCTCAAGTACTCAAGAATATAACTACAGTTTCACACTTTTTATTGTAGGTGAAAAACTGAGTGAACGTGTTTTATTGCTGTGAATCGTTTACAATAGTTGTATCATAATGTTTGTCCTGAGTCAGGTATGATGATTTTTAAACGTTTTGTTGAACTCTAGGTGATGAATTGTATCCAGACTTAAAATAAAGACAAATTTGTCAGTCTTAAAAGATATTAGTCGCTTATACGTATCTTGATCGAATCAAGATAACATTTATAGTTTTAAAGGTATACGGATTGACGTCCTCCACTGATATGCGTAGATAAATACATGTATGGTCTTTGAAAAGAGAAGCTGTGTTTTGTCTCTATTTTATTTCTTATAACGATATAATGATAATAACCAATCATATTGTTCCGATTACCATCTTACTCGTTTCATATTAGATATACAACTAAACTCTCTTTTATTTACACACTATCTCTTACAAGGTAACTAAGATTAGCAAGTCTGAATGAATAAAGTGAAAAGCAGTACTGTGATTGATTAACTACTTTTTATAAACTTGTTTCATCAAACATTTATAAAGATCCCTCAGAATAAACTCTAAAGCTGCTACTATAAAAGTTAAGGCAAAAGAGAAACTTAATATCATAGAAAAGTCTTCTTTTTAAACATTTCGTGTTGCAATATATATCCCTTGTCATTTTGGTATTAAAAGCGTATTCTTTTTAATTTAGACCGAGAATTACGCCTTAAGGACAACGCCTTAGGGTATCTTTGATCTTAAAGAGGCCAGCGAGGTAGGGACAGAAAACGCCAATAGACTTTTAAATAGATAACATTGAAAACTGCCTAAAAATGCACTTACTAAGCCAGTATGGTATACTTAGCTTGTATTTTTGTATGTATTTGTATTCCCAGTTCTCTCATAGTTTCGCCTTCTTCGCCTCAGTTTCTTATTTTTCTTTTATGTGGTATTTATATGTTTAATATCTTTCTTAAAATCTCTGAAATATTTATTGGCTATTAGCCACTATTCTTTACGCACTTCTTTCCTTCGCACCATTTAAAAGAGTAAAATTTGTGTTTTTTTATAACTACCCTTCCAACTGCATGAACATTTGTACAGTCCCACATAAAAGAATGTTAAAAATAAACTAAGCATGTTTTATCTCCTAAAATTTATTCGAGAATTAGTTCAGGTACATAGCAAAAGAAGTTTCTGGCAGTCGTTCTGAAATATTCTAAAACGTAGTATGATAAGAAGTTTGACTTTGTTTTATCGAGGATTTTCCAGTGTAGGAGTTTTCACTTCTAATCTATTTTAGTGAAGCTTAACTTATCATCCCATATAATGCTTAAACATTAAGAGCTTGTTATACATGTCAGTCTATATTATTTTTAGAGTGATTTGGGTTTTATGAAGCTGTTTCTCCTGAAGACTCGCAAAAAGTGCGGGAAAGTTACTCGAACCACCCACTACATTTCCAGATGCGTATTTCTACCCGTTGATTTAAAAAACATGTGGACTGTTAATATAGTGATTATGCATCATTTTCATTAGCAAAGCATTTCCCTCAAAATTTTGGGAACAAACTTTCTTCACTGAGTAGAGTTGGTCAAGGCTGTTTGGAGTTTGGCACGCACAGCGTAATTTACAGACTAAAGGTTCACAATTTCATCGACTGCCTTACATTTCATACTTAGCATTGCACGGTTTGCTTGGATACTGTGATCCTATCACAGAGAATCCCTTCTACTCATACAGCTGTTAGGCACAGTAGGCTGAACTGGTGTAAATTAACTCTATCGCTAGACATTTTTTCGAAACAGTTTGTTACAGCAATGATCGTTTATATTGATGCACCTATAATAGGCATTCTTGATTCATACTGAGAAGCTCATTCTAGCTTTACTTCACAGTTGTTTGGTTTTTATATACCTGGTTATCCACGAAAAGTGCATCATCTAAAGCTCACTAACGTTTTTAAAACTTAAATACATCATAAAAACATGACTGGAAGTGTGATTGTTGGATGTCTGTATTTCATAGTTCCTATGTAGTAGTTCTTTGCTTGACCAAGATAGGAAGTTGTTTTGCAATCATGGCAATTTGTCATTGCGTTCATTTCACTAGGCAAAGTAAATGAAAGACTGAGTACGTCAGAAGTTATCTAAAAGAGACACACAGATGGTGGAGATAAGCAGAGAAGCTGCGTAAATATGCCAGCTTTCTCAGATAGAGCAGAGAATTAAAATCCTAAAATGAAGGAAAGGAAATCACTGAAACAGAAACAGTATTTAGTAAATATTAAAATCATGAGGATTTAAATTGAGATAAAAGTCCATACTGTTTACTTTATTTGAATTCATTTTAATGCATGTTATATCTGATCTTTACCAGCCACTATTTGTCTTCTGAGGACATTTAATTTCGTCCATGAGGTGGACTGGTTTTATTTGACTATAGATCGGCGTCACGTTTTGATCTGGTCTCTGTTAGCTTCATAATAATTTTACCTTAACCGACATCATTTTTAATCGGCCTATTACCATGCCAGGAGTGACGTTTAGATTAGAATTTACTTATTATGAAAGCACGATTTCTAATATCTGAGACAATAGATCAAAAGCATAGATATTGAGAATATGAGTAATCTGTCAATAACACTTGAAACCACTTAAACCATGCTTTGATGATACAATCATTCCTGAATTCATACCTAAGGCATATACAGAGGCACGACTGGGTGACTACTGGGCTATAAAAATATTAAAGTATACATACGAAACTGGTTTCCGCTGTGATTGCATAACCACTGTTGTTCAGTGTCATGTGAATGTATCCATGCGATAGTGAGTGCTAAAGGAATAAGTACGGCCCATAGAAAGTCGTATTTTCAAACATAAGGAGTTTTATCGTTCAAAATCAGTTACAGTAATGCAGATGCAGCCACTTTTAATCTTTTGGTGATTGCGATGAGTAAATAATCTTTTCTTCTGGTTCTTGTTAATGTTTACTTTCTTGCTCATTTGGACTCAAATATCAGTCTGTATTTTCATGTCTTGTCGATCTTCACTGCGTGTTTGTACTTTTTTGTTCTTTTAGAACATTATTGGAAAAAAAGGCTTAGGCGTTTGAACTATCACGTACTATTTTACTATTAGGGTGGCCGTTGCGTGGCAGAATTGTATTGCTGATACTGGTTAGTGATTTAGGGTGAAATAAAAATCTAGGCCATGGTGGAGTTAGAACACACCAGTTGTGGGTTATCGGTGCTCTACACAAACTGAACTACTAGACTCAGCTGCTGACAAGAAATTGATTTCACTGCAAATATGATGAACGGATAGTAACGCATTACTCTCTCATCTACCACTCTGATACAATCTTTGGTGATTGAAGTGAAATAAAAACCTGATCAGCAGGTAGGCCTCGTAGCCCAGTTGGTAGGGCACCGTGATGGAAACCAGGTGGTCGCTGGTTAGAATCCTGCCGTGGCTCAAACCTTTCCTCTACCTTCAGGCGTCACCGAGTGTCATATAATTCCTGTGATACAAATTATTTAACTTATTATTATTATTCACGGGAATTATTATTATTATTATCATTTGTCCCTTGGGTTCCTAGTGTAACACAGGGCTTCAGTGGCACATCTCCACTGCACATTTACGGGAATAAGAGAACATTTATCACAGCTGTGAAACATTTTCATTGATTAATCTTGTTTGTAATGCGAACATCGTCTATTATACTGTTGCCCCAAGCTTTGAGCAGTGAGCCATTTCATATATAAAATCACTTTCTGGCTGTAAAGGGCTTAAGCACAGTCAAGTACGACGGCATTACGACAGAGATCATCATATCTTATTTTTAGGATGTTGTGACCAACTGATAACTATTTTCGACATTCTTCGGAGTCTTGAAGCTATTTTCGAATAGTTTATCGCCTATAAATTTACATTAAGACTTTAAAGTGTACTAATTGTTATTGAATACACTGAAAAATACCTTTAAAAGAAGCAACGAAACAGTCGTGTCTGCCAGTTGAAGTGGATAACTTGCCATCAGTCATCTATGCATAACTTTTGCTGAGATAAAAAGACTCAGTGTTTTGGCACTACTTTACTCTGATACTGATTACAACCCAGTAATAATAAGTCCACTAGACTATTAATCATACCAGCTGAAATAAATTACAAGAGCTATTGATTGCACAAAGTTTCCCACCTACAACGATATTAACACTTCCATTTTAGTGATTGAAAACATAAAGTGTAAGATAATAGCAACATGAATTGTGATCATAAGTTATCAAGGGTAATTAACAGGGAGTCCATGCTCCCAAGTTATGTTTTGAGCTTGACTGAAATTACACGAGCTTAAAAACGACGAATCAACTAGGCGTAGTCCTTGAGCCGTAATGTCTGTCGAAATTGACTGAAATACAATCAAAATATATTCATTCATCATTGTTAGTCAAGGAGTGGTGTGATGCAGATAGTAATTATCACTGCTTTGACAAACTTAGGTTCTTCCTAACCACAAATGAGTGAGCTCGTAAGAATAAGATATCAGTACATGACCGAATATGTAAGCTATCGAGTTGTAGTAGCTGAGTTGCAAAATCGACGGCGTATTAACATGGTTTGCTGATAGGCAACACAGGAGTCACTCAGTATTCAGACCATTATCAAAACAAATAATGATGTCATTTAAAAAGATGATCTACTTCAGAGAATTTTATTTCTTCTGAGAATCCGCACTGGAGTTTTACTTGAAAAACATTTTATTGTTCATCAACTTACTTGCATGATAACAGGAATTCAAGCAAATTATATTAGATTTAGGTGCAACTAATATATGGTATACTATGAAGTTTAGAAAAATGTTGGATTTTCGGATTGGATAACTAACGGCATATGCATTCCATATGCAGTGTGAGCTAGAAACACTCTACTTGAGATATTTTTCAGCAACCTACGTCGGAAATAAAAACTTTTATGAATTCAGGCATGGATTTCGTGTTAATTGACGTTACTAACCGTTATCCTACTGTACATGGTACCGACAACTGTTTATCCATTGTCTTTTCACTTTAGGATGATTATCGTAACAACTACAGACGGTCAAGAAGTTCCAGGTATGTTCTTTTAGCTCAAAGTTCGCTTATTACACATCAAAATTGTTGCGAAATGACGAAAAATTATCGGGTTTGTTTCTCCGTTAAAAAATCTTTGTTGCATCATTCTTCTTCGAATTATTTTCATTTATAATTCTATTGTAAAATTATCGCCGACACCATTTTAAGACGTATTTCTAGTATGACTGAGGTTTTAGACTGACTTTCAAAGCCCTCGTTTTTCCGGATGGTAATTTATTCACAATACTGAGCAGATGTTGGGCAGACTCATGACTTTCTATGCGATGTTGTCAATTAACTTTCTTCACCAATAATACCTAGCCCCAATCAAATTCAGTAACAGAAGATCAGCTTTTGTAAAGGTTTTGGATTTGAAACTGAAAGCTTAACAAATTCTGCAGGAAAAATAAGCTGCTAACAAAATGCATTTAGATAGCAAACGCCTTCAAACAAACAACTGTTGACCACTTACAGAGTAGGTTTCCAACTCCTCTTCCTTAGTCAACAGAGCATGTGAGGTCAGATGAGAAGAGAAAATCAAAATACTTCTGCTATACCTATTATTCATACATTTGGTTAGTTTATATACATAGGTCAAATGTCATTATAAGCTCCAGAAGTTGACCCTTGGAAACTAAAAATGCATCTACTAAAAGATAACTTATACCATAAATAAAATGAAGTCACATAATCATTCTAGCAGCTTGACACAAACAAATACAGAAAAGACAGTGTACGTAAGAGTAGAAAAAAAGTGCAGTGTAAAACCAAGTAAGTGAATTGAAACGAAAACTGTGTCATAAATAAACAAAGCTACATTTTGACACAGCACATGTTCAAAGATTAATGCAAATCTCCACAATGCAAACAAACTCTCACGTCAAGTGGAAAAGAGAGTAATTAGCAGCAGAAGCAAACTGCATGTACAAAAGATTCAATAAACTGATGTCATTTTGTGGAATTTACACGAGAGAACGAATTCTATCTATATGAAAAAAGAAAACAGTGACGATATTTACTAATCTGGAAACATGTTTAGGTCTTGTATTTTAGGAGAGTTGAATTTCGCATTTGTTTGATTGTCAACAGTATTTATTTTGAAGTGATGTGGTTAACAATTGCATTGTACGTTTGTTCATCCATTGAAGGGCCTATCCAACAACGAACGCATATGACCCGTATTACTCGCGTCCACCAGCACATATCGACCAGTGGCTCCGATTTCCCCTGGGTGAGTAATTAATCTTTGTTTAAATAACTAAAACTATGAGTAGATAGTAGTGATTTGCTCGAGAATGCTGAGTAAATGAACCTCTGGACTAACCACTTGGTCCTATCTGACTTGTGACCGGGATTGGAAAAGTAATTTCCTTGTGTGTAAGAGGTTAACAAGATACATTCCACTGAAAAATTCATTTCGATGAGTCATTTACTTGTAAAGGGATGAAAGTAACTGGAGTGTTTGTGAGTACTGGGATTTCGCACACCAGTTAGCCACAAAATTGACTGATATCATGCGAATGCATAGTTCCGAGCCGATCCAAGAGTAGGATTGTTTGCAGAGGTATTGAGTGTTTTGAGTGGGTTAGGAAGGGATAGTATGCAAACCAGAGGCTTCTTTTTGACGGCAGAAAATGAGACAGTGTTGTTTATTGGACTTCGTACCGATCATAGTTATAGGTTTTGATTACAGTGTCATTTGGATAGACCGGAACTATCAATATACGATAATCAATTTTTTGTCGACTAACTGATGCTGAGGAATCTTCCATTTCATTGTGTTTCCTGGACAAAAATGTGGCATTTCTTTATTGGTGTTGTCAGATACTACTTCAGTTAATCTAGCACATTTCGTATTTATCCATCTTATAAAGATAATTGTTCTAAGAGATCTACAGTTTGTTGACAGTGACGAAGGACTACGTTTGTAGTTGATATTTTCTGGTATTTTTTTGCCATTGCCTCGTACCATAGTTAGTTCTTGAATAACATGGCACCCAGGTAATTGAAAAGAAGTTGTCAGTTCATCTTCTAACTCACGTTTCGTTCTGTTCCCAATTTCACGTCCTATATATTCAAGTTGCAACTTAATTAATATCCATGGTGGAGTACCGGCAATTGAAAAGCTTAGGTGACGCAACAGCTAAAAAAGGGATTGCTTGTGAAGTTATGGAACTTCCTAAGTAAGTTGAACAACGACGTCACCTGCAGCGAAACTTTTTTTATCATCTGAACATTCTAAAACACATGACGATGTTAACTGACCAAACTTATTCTTTCCGTGACTGCCGAATTCTGCATACCTCAAGGTTTTTGGTTTCTTGGTGATGAGGATAGAAGACTCAAAAAAGCTTATCAGAAATCAGTCTCAGTGGCTATTTTGGTTGATGTCACATGGTTAGATTTAAGGTTGGATTTTGTATTTACAAACATTCGTCGCTTGAGATTGTCTGTGATTTCCAGCGAATCGCCTTATCTGTGATGGAAATCATTAAGACTGATTCCTACAGTTACAGACAGAATCAGTAAGCTATTTGAGTTGCGCCTGATTTTTTTAGGGACTAGAGTATATAATCCTTAAAAACTAAACAATCTGGTCTTTAGATTTTGTGACGATTTTTTCAGACGTTTGTGATCCAAGTATACTCGTAGCATCTTATTATATAACCTATATCATCTACCAGGGCACAAAAGGGATTCTACAACCAAAGACTTAGTTAACGAATCTACTATTTCCGCTAATTCTAAGGGGTAGGGTCTTAAATTGACGTCATTTTATGTCATTATATTTGTATTGATTATACCTCTAAGGTCTGTATGAATGTTTCTCAAATAAAACATTCACTCTAGGATTTCGACAATGCTGAATGCAACAGTTAGAGATTACTATTAGCTAAACTTTCTGAATTTTTGCATGAGATATAAAGGGGTTAGAGTGGAGTATGCATAGTAGGAAATTTTGCACATATCAACATTTAAACTAAAACATTCTTCTTCGATTCATTTTAAAGGAGAATTTGAGAAGACACTATACTGGAGAATGAAAAAAGGTTTAAGAGAAAAAATACAGCTGAACTTTAGCTTATGAAATGATGTCTACACAGTAGCCGGTATTCCACAGGTTGATGCAGGATTATTGTAAAGGTGGGAGGAAATGATAGAGTTAAACATGGAAGAAAAAAAATGACGTATTTCTCTGACTGCTTTTAAATTCCTAGATTGGCTCATGTCCCAAACTTATTTCTGTTCATCAAGCATTGTGTTAATTGATATGGATTAAATTAGAATGCCTTACAGCTATCTTTAGCTCTTAAAGCATTTATCACTCCAGTGCACTGGTAGGATGCATATTTATCTACGGAAGAGAGATTTTTTCATACCTCAAATTTTGAATAGTCACCACACAGTACATATCCTAGAGTTTCGTCTTCATTCTGAAGTGCAACATAGTAAATCACATGGATGGAATGAAACACCCTACAGCAATAAAAGGACGAAAGATTTCACGATAACTTTAAGTTATTGAAGTTATTGCTATTCACAGATTTCGACAGGAAGTTTCTATTTCAGGAATATAGTTATTATCTTCAGACTACTCTTGTAACCAGTGTTATTTCTGATCAAAACGGGGCCCTCTACTTTTTCATAAATTGGAACACTTTTGTCTGAAGCTCACTTCTGAACACCTTCATTTCAAACATTATCTTTACAAATATTGTATTTGCTACACTAATCATTTGTCTTTTTGTCACGATAACCTTTTCATAAGGTTTAATAACTGTCTCCACTTAAATTCAACCTAAAATGTTTCCTTTTAGAACCTTCCCTTCTTTGCGTTTTTAAATTTTACCCATTTTGACTCTGTCATTATTGTCACTTTTTTCACGTTTCTGCATGTCGGTGTTAATTAATTCTGACGAAAACATTAGCTGAAGTAGCCAGACAAAATGTGGAAACATTGATATTTGTTTACAGTGACAATTGGTAGAATTATTTAATTATTCGGATTGTGTGTATTCAGTCTAAGGAAACCAGTGAGTCATAAGTAATTTAACTAATTCTGCAAATAATATGCTTACTATATAGTTCACAGTTAGCAGAAGAACTAAATATACGGAAATTCCTGTCAGAAGTTTCTGAATAGTAGATAGACAATATCAATGTGATACCTGGAGTCACTGAGTAACAGTCCAAGTTCCTACAATTCCTATCAGCATTTTGGGCGAGAATGCAGTAAGATTGAAGATAAAGAAGTTAGGAACAAAGTAGTGAGAGTGGTAGAGAGTTGTGAAGAAAAGATAAAAGAGGAATGAGACAGTACTGAAATTCAGAATGATGACTGAGATGAAAGTCATGTACGCATACATTGTCAGTGAGCTTGATTCTAAATCATATTAACCAGTCTCCAATCCCCGGTTTTAGTTATCATGTGAAACCAATCCGAGAAGTCCATATGAATCAAAGAGTTCAGGAACCGGGGCCATTTTAGTCTACCTATGTTCACAGTCTTATCAACTGATCATTTTCTTCTGCATAAAACTCCACATCCAACTTCGAAGTTGCCTATATGGTGAAACCATGACACGGCTTATGACACAACGGCAACAGTTATCTTATACACGAAGCCTAATTTCTCATTTCCTCCACTTTGAATGGACATACTTCACACTCATGTAGTAAATAAGAGCAAACTGCAGAGCAATACGCCCCACACTTAATAAGCAACCACAAATGTCACATCTTAACAAGAGTCGATTGACACTTTTGTATCCATGTCAAGATTTCCACAATCACAGACCGATTGCAGCTGATCCGACTTCTCAAGTAAGTGAAGTAGTGGTCAGAGCGTTCAACGACTTCACTCCATATTGTTAGACAAGGTACCAATTTAGACAGACCATTTCTGTTCTGGAGCAACAACTTCCATTCTGGTGATGAGAAGTACATTTCAAACAGTTTCAAATAGACACTGAACTTGTCCAGAAGACCATGCATCTTACTCACCCAACACGACTATGTCATACGCAGAATCTAAGCCTACTGTGAAGTTAGTCTCCTGTGACGTGGTCAACAACCAATCCCCGTAAATTCAGACAACCGGAAGACAGACCTCCATAAGCAATTCGACGACAAGATTAACTAAGACTGGAGATGATGGACATCCTTGACTAACAAAACTCACCTGACAACAGGCTATATATAACACCCATATCGTTGTTCGACTGAGCAATCTTCAGCACGATGATTTGCTTAGTTACCACCCGTTTCAGTGAGAGGCAACGTTATAAGACCTCTCGATCGAGGAAGTTGAATGCCACCTCCTCACCAAGAAACATAACTAGTGATGGTCGCCAGTTCGCATGTTCTGAGACCTTGTAAAGAATGAATATCTGGACAATACAACCACTACAGTTTGGAAGGCTTTCTGCTTTTCTCAGGTTTGCTATTCCTAATCTCTACTCAGATGCTTGATAATTATAGAACCTAGAATCTTTGACACTTTATTCATCAGACGATTCCCATGACTCGTTGGTTATCAAGGAGGATTTCGCTCATCTCATGTAAATTGGAAAACTCAGAGATCGATACCAATTAGAGGGCATCATCTGTGATTGTAATGCGATAGCTAACATTCAGTTAGCTTGACCAAATTCTTCATTGTGCTGCTCATTTTTTCTAACTTCTCGATATATTTTCACCCAATTTTTGTCACTATCTTCGTTGACGTTTGATCATTTTTACAATAGTCATGACCTGCTATATAATTAGGGTATCAATAAAATTTATGTCAATAAAAAGTGCAAAATCCAACTTGTCATGCTCTTAATGCTATTTCATGTCTCGACATATTTGCAATGTTTGAAGTAAGCCACCTCTAACCACTTCATCAAAACAGTATAAATGGATAAAATTTCGGTATCCTCCTCAAAAAGAAGGCAACAGTAATTCGAGTTACAGTGAGCAAAGAGTTTATCAGAATACTAACTGATAGTGATGCGGCTATATCTGTGATCGTCTCAAAGTTGATCTGGATATAATGCCGGTTTTGTTCGTAAAATTCTTCTTGCTAACTAAGCATCGATATTTGATAAAAATGATTAAATGGCGACTTAAATAAAACATGAGCACTTAAAAATTGGTATTTATCCAGTAAAAGACCTTGCACATATAGTAATTAGATAGAAAACTTAAAAAAGCCTAATTTGCCCTGGTTATCCTATGTACTAAGCGCTAACTTACGACAGCACTTTTTTTCATTCTTCATGCAGAATGGCTAATTGATTTTCTTTAGCGTATGTAAGTATGAATCTCTCAACAACTAAAATTAGCATTCAAGTTTTTCACTTGCATAGATGATTCAAATTGTGTGGTGGATATTTATTGTTGTATAAAGTTGATTAATTTTCTACCAGTGTTCAGCTTGTAGAAGACATTGAATACATATTAACTTATAAACTAGACAGTGATATACATAACTTTCACAAGATGAAATTATTAATGAGATTTATTTTTGTCGACGAGTGATACTGCTTAAATGAGACAAGAAAGGACTATTGACGAAGCTGTCTATGATCATAGTACCAGATGATTGTTGGGTAGCATTTTTAGAAAGACCCAAGTTAAGTCCATCAATACTGAACCTAAACCATATTAAGGAGTAATTTTATCATTTGTAAGCATAAATATGAATCTGTTTGTGCCGAAAAGCATAAGGTATAATCACACATCCCTTCCATCTAGGCTAAGTATGATGATCACTTTGAATATATCAGCGTCAGGGCTGACAAATCAAGAAAATCGGACACTAACACCCTTATTACCAGTAGTTCTTAGGTGTCAATAGATATTTCATATGCACAACTTTAAAAATGTAAGTACCTGGGAAGCAGGTAATAATTCTGTTGTCTTTGGGATTAACTAAGGAGAGTTTGTTCAGAATATCAGATCACAATTAGTGGGTAACATTGTTCAGATTCCTTTAAGAAGGTGTTAAAATTAAGAAAGATGAGAACAAACAGGAAGTGACCTAAATGATAAGAAAACAAAGTTTACTAAGGTAGATGTTGTATAAGAACAAATTGTTTTTGTACATATAAAGGTGGTTCCAATTTGTGTACGGCTATGGCTTCTACAAATCTCAGAATATCTTCCTGACTGTTTCTACATAAACTTTGAAAGCTGTTTGAACATTAACTTTGTGACCTGTATTTATGATATGTTTTGCTACAGATGAAGAGGGTCGTCATCTTCTCATTACGCTTTCGAAATTTATAATTTACTTATTAAAAAGGTTCATGAAAACATTCAAAGTGTCGGTGTAATAATGGGCAATAATGGTGCCTGAAATATTTCCAGAATAAAACATTTATCAGAGTGTATAAAATTTTCATTGAAATTTTGCTTTTAGTATTTTAATCCACTCCACAATACAAAAACCTTTCATTGATATGGCATAGTCCGATTTAGTACTTACTATTTCGATAATAGTAAATATAACACTGTTTCCCAAATGTACCGTGATTCTTTTGGTGTATGATATCCTTTACTGAAATTCGTTCAAGATCATTTTAAATTATATTTATTCAGTGAGGGAATTTATGAATAAGTTGTGAAGCAATGTGGTTTGTTATTCAGTTGGACAAATTAGCTTCTATGAATTGAATAAGATGCATTACCCGACTTAATTCAAACCAGGATAGTGAATACTGCAAAAGTGGTCATCTGAAATAGACTATAACCTTAGATATCGTATTCAATAAATTTTGCCATCACCAACAAAGCTGCATTTTGACCACGCGCATGTTCAAAGATTAATGCAAATCTCCACAATGCAAACAAACTCTCACGTCAAGTGGAAAAGAGAGTAATTAGTAGCAGAAGCAAACTGCATGTACAAAAGATTCAATAAACTGATGTCATTTTGTGGAATTTACACGAGAGAACGAATTCTATCTATATGAAAAAAGAAAACAGTGACGATATTTACTAATCTGGAAACATGTTTAGGTCTTGTATTTTAGGAGAGTTGAATTTCGCATTTGTTTGATTGTCAACAGTATTTATTTTGAAGTGATGTGGTTAACAATTGCATTGTACGTTTGTTCATCCATTGAAGGGCCTATCCAACAACGAACGCATATGACCCGTATTACTCGCGTCCACCCAGCACATATCGACCAGTGGCTCCGATTTCCCCTGGGTGAGTAATTAATCTTTGTTTAAATAACTAAAACTATGAGTAGATAGTAGTGATTTGCTCGAGAATGCTGAGTAAATGAACCTCTGGACTAACCACTTGGTCCTATCTGACTTGTGACCGGGATTGGAAAAGTAATTTCCTTGTGTGTAAGAGGTTAACAAGATACATTCCACTGAAAAATTCATTTCGATGAGTCATTTACTTGTAAAGGGATGAAAGTAACTGGAGTGTTTGTGAGTACTGGGATTTCGCACACCAGTTAGCCACAAAATTGACTGATATCATGCGAATGCATAGTTCCGAGCCGATCCAAGAGTAGGATTGTTTGCAGAGGTATTGAGTGTTTTGAGTGGGTTAGGAAGGGATAGTATGCAAACCAGAGGCTTCTTTTTGACGGCAGAAAATGAGACAGTGTTGTTTATTGGACTTCGTACCGATCATAGTTATAGGTTTTGATTACAGTGTCATTTGGATAGACCGGAACTATCAATATACGATAATCAATTTTTTGTCGACTAACTGATGCTGAGGAATCTTCCGTTTCATTGTTTAGCTTTCATAGGTTTTCTCTTTGTTAGGAACGAGATCACTGTGCACCTTATCGGGCTTATGTTTCTCTTTTATTTAGACTGTTTCACATTACGTATGGTTTTTAACTTTGTCTGAGCGTAACATGGATTCTCTGATATTCATAAATTTCTGCTGCCTTTAAAGCGCTTCCTACAAGATATATTTTCTATAGTGTTTATTTAGGTTCCTTAAGTAATAACTTTGTATTTTGAGACTAAACGTTTCATCAGGTATCGGAATGAATTTTTACGCCGTAATTTGATTTCCTTCGTTTTATTTCGTAGAATATCTTTTCGTGTATTTTGCCGTGTCTTAACGTCAGTTAATTAATGTTTTTTCTTGAAATTTGGCACGGATTTGTAGGCCCTATCCATGTGCGCCTGCTTATGATCCGTATTATTCATACGCGCCCTCTACCTATCGGCCGCCTGAATCGGTATATCGCGGGTAAGCAATTGAAGTTTTTCTCACGGTCACCGGTGCATTTTTATCTGGTTTTTCCACCCTGTTTGTCCTGCTGCATTAGATCTTAAAATGAATACAATCATTTTGTTGTTAGTTGGTCACTGTTGAGATATCTGTATGAAATAATATTTTCAGTGGAATTTTACGTAAGAACAGTATATATCACCTTGTGCAATGTATCCTTAATTTCAGTGCACTTAGTTTGCATTAAGTTTACTTTGAAAGTTGTTAGCTCCTGTGATAGTTTTAGACACTGTGATGGTAAGGTAATGATTATGAGAAACATTTAAGAGACACATGTTTGTTGGTTAAAGGCGATCATTAGGAAGTCTTGTACTTAGTTTTCATGCTTGCTGAATAGTGCCAACATACACAAAACCTAGGTGCAAAACTTCCTGTCGATCACCTCCACGTAACTAAATTCCATCAAAATTACATTGTGATGATGTGCCTTTTAGCTTTTTGGCCACATTGCACAATAAGAGAGAGAATTTTATCAACGCTGAGGACTAGATAACATGAACTTGTTTACTTTTCATTGACCAATCGGTGAATTTAGTAGAAAACCTTCTGATTACACTATCTTAATGTTCGCTTATTTATAGAACTTAAAAAAACATCCATTTGTTCAATTTTGTAACATTTACTAGTTTAGGACGTTAGAATTCAACAAAGTATTCTTGTTTAAAAACAAGCTTTGAGAATATTTCAAGGTTTATAAACATTTGTATCCTTCAACCACAGATTTCTTTTAGGGTGGGTGGATAAAGCTGATTATATAGATGGGTTCAGTTTTTAGTGAACGTACTATAAGGAGTTGGACGTCCGAGGGTGACATGGAGGAGATCGTGCGAGGAGGAAATGAGAGCTTCTGGGCTGTCGTGGAACCAGGTTCAAAAGATCTCAGAGAACAGAGGTCACTGAAGACGTGCTACTGAAGCCCTGTGTTCCACTAGGAACCCAAGGGATAAATAATATAATAATAATAATACTATAAGGTCAAAGTTTACAGTTCATACTACTATTTGATGTTAGGGCTATTTTGAAATCATGCCCTCATAATTGTCAGTATTTAGTCATACGCTGCTTTCTGGAAGGTGGTGAGAATTTATATGAGATTTCTTTTTGTATGCCAGTAAATTTAACTTACTACTTAAGAGTAGTTATTGAACTCACTTGTATTATGTGAACAACTGTTACTGTCATGGGCGTTGCTTACGGTCAAAAAAAGTAATTAGTTTCAGATTATCATATAGTAATTAAAACTTTTGATTACTTTGTTTACGACCATTTATTGTGTATTCAATTGTTTTACTTACAAAGTTTTTGACTATTGATTATTTGAGATCTGTTCGAGAGGCATATGAACCACGCAGCGTTTCTCCGTACCCTGTTCGTAGAGCGTTGTCTAGTGATCCCAGCATAGAACCAGAGTAAGTTATTCACATACTTTGCTACTTAGAATGATTGGACATTTTTCGTTTAACAACTTAGCATTTTGCATCAGGTATTTTTATTCGATTACTCGAGTAATGACTTCATCATCATCAGTTTTATTTTAAAATTAATAATTTTTATTCAAGCAATACTTTTGGTGTTGGTTAATTAAATACGTTAGTTTTCACTAAGCTAAGAATTGTCTACTTACATCGAGCCTCCGTAAAATTACGTGTACAAACAATCCAAGTATTCTATCGGAAATGAGATATAGGTCTTTATAATAATTTCTAAGAGAACATTAAGTGTTTTACAGGGCACCTAAAGTTTAGATTTTCATTCTTTTGAACCACGAAGCTCAACTGTAGTTACGTCTTCAAAAATTAGACTTGTCGTCTGTTTTCATCGCAGATTTGGAAATTTTGCTTTTGTACCTAAATATTTACTCAGCAAAATTTTCAAATGTGGCTTGTTTTCCTGTTTGCGACATTTTTATCTTTGCAAGTAGTTTGGTGACACTTCGTTGAAAGTTCATTTGACTATGAATTATTTCTTTATAGGCTAATTAACTAAGATTAACTATATTCTTTGTCATAACAAATTCAGTAGTAATGTTTTGTGTACCAGGACTTTCATCCATGCTTTAGCTGTCAATAAAATGTGCCAGCAGTTATTGTGTGATCAGCTGCGAACCATAAGACATACAGCTTGAATGAAGAAACAGTATTTGGTTCTAAGCAAGACAGATACAGATCATTTCAGCTGTGTATTTACAGTGTATATACCGAACTCATAGTTGTTTAATCTTATCTTCAAATAAGTGCACCTAATTTACCATTGGTTATACGTTGACTATGAGTTCTCATGTGTTGTTTACAGTTAGAATCATGCTTTGAACAACTATTTTGGTTGCATTCCCACTGAATTAGCCAGATTTTTAATGCATCTTTCTTTCCATTAACTTTGACAAAATATTCTTACAAGATTTTTATTCAGATATGACAAACCCATCGTAACATGCCGACTGTGTAACCTGAAGGTCCTAGGTTCCACCTCTGGTGGGGTCATGGGTGAGCACTACTGAAGAGTACTATAGTAGGGAGAAACAACTATCCAGTGACCCTATGTTTGCGTTATTTCTCCAACTAGTGTCAATCCATGATGATTACCAATCTCAAATAAAGACAACAATTACTACATTTGATGAACACTTCTTACCTTGCCCAAATTTAAAAATTGATCGAAGTGCATGAAAGTTTTTTCAAAAGGCTTACAACAATTTAAAAAATCATGGATGAACTGCTGAATATGGTCATATTTTTCTGGAATTAATTAGTGTTACCGACAGACAGAATGTCTTTATTTCAAGAACAGATGAGGATTTATTTTGAAGTACTTTTTACGCCACTTTTTCTCATGAATTGCCTCTAATCAGCTGGACTAGGTTACGTTAAATGTGCACGTCATTCTGGTTTACGTCAATTATCTCTTTTATGTTCGCACTATCAACTGATTCCCAGTTATTCACTCCTGTGCTTGTAAGGAAATAGTGTGCACTTAATAAATACATTCATGGACTGTGGCTTCGGCTCATGCAAGCAGGTAGTCTCTGTCATTCTATCGGATGCTGCGTACCATAGCTAAATATCATGTGACGAGAGGAAACAAAGAGAAAATTGCTAGTAATTGAGAGGTGTTTCTTTTTAATCCATTTAAAATGGAGAGAATGGTGTTACGAAATAATAATTGTAGTTGAGAATATAACACTTAATTTCTGCTATCTTTTTGAGATGGTTTATTATTTGTTTCAGTGGTCATACACTCTCAATTTATCTTCAGAGTGTTTTTATGTTTGTATGAAGTCTGCTTTATGCAATATTGTGTTCATAGAGTTCCATTATCTGTCTAAACTCATCACATTGACGAAAGATATAATCAAAAACATCCTTAATATATATTAAAAATTCCCACTGTCAAAATTAGAAGAAGACATATAAGCGAACAATACCGTTTTCAAATTAGCTGTCATCAGGTTTTACGCCAATATACATACATTTTCTCATATATAAAACATTAAACCAATCATGGTGGATTATTTAGTCTGCGGTGACTAGAAGATGAAATCCCTAATATGGTCAGTGTGTATAATTTGTGAAGTTTTCAGTTATTTCCTAGAAGTTGAACATTATTTGCTACTTTTTTCTTTAGAATGCCCCTATATCACTCATAAGTTTCAAGTTCTATCTAATATTTTTTCTCAGAGGTTATTGCTTAAAAATACAAGCTTTCATACAGCACATACTTTTGTAAATGAACAGTAATAGATTGTAGGTAGAAGCTTATCGAAGAGCTTAGTTACAGTTTTATACTCTGTCCCACATATTGAGATGAAGTAGAATGACAGTCTTAAAAACTTATCTGCACAAAGAGTTCGATATTTGCCTCTTGATCTATTGAGTTCAGTTTAGACGACATCCAAGTGCAATGACTGTCTGAGATGCAACTAATACTACCTTTACAACAAAGAGGTAAACACTGACCCAAAAAATTTGACATTACCTAGATATGATTATCAAAAAACATTTTTCAGGTAATAATCCTGTTTCCATGAGTGACCGATTTGACACACGAGCTAAACTAGTGTTACATAACAACCAAGTCTGCACTTGTGTATTAGTTGTATATATCTGGATATGATTGTATTAACTGTTAACCTTAAAACTCTTCACGAAAATATTTCATCAGTTAAATAAGTGCTGAAAGTTGTAAGTGCATTTTTGAAAGCCTTCTATTTCATTTGTTTATAAAACGCTTGTCTTGCGGATAATATTACCGGAGTTGTAATAAAAATAATGACTTATAAGATGAAAAATGTCCAGCTATATTCAAAGATACTAGAGGTTAGGTATTGTTGAACATTGAAGGAAAACTTAGTTAAACCAGGTAATTTCTGTTGTGGGACTGGAATTGATAGAGTGTAGTGATTTGATAAGTAAAGCTGAGAATGGGGTAAAACGACGTTTTCATTTCGTTATTCTGCTTGTCATCTATCTGTTTTCATTTGTGAAAATCTTTTATGTGAATATGCTTTCATTAATTTGTTGGGCTGTTACGACTGTTTAAGAGAGCTCACTGACGAAACCAGCAGATAAGATTCACAACAAAGTGATTTTACTTGTCACAACAACAGTATATCAAAGCGCCTATTACATGATTGTTTGTTCATCTTACCTACAAGCTTATCACTAGTGAATGTCCGCAATAGTTAACTAATATTTAGGAATTAATTGCTTCTGTGCTGTTGAGGAATTAATATTTGTTGAAATTCGCTCTTTGGATCTGTCCATAAGTAAGGTATTTTATCCTTTGGATGAAAAAAATAAAAGTATTGATTAGCCAAGATGTTCACTTTCCATGAAAATACAATTTGAGAATTTTACCAAAAAATATTTTTCCAATGATGAAGTAAATGGTAAAGCCTGAAGGCGATTAGCATTTTAATTTTCATGCGGCGAATAACTGTTCAGTATGATATTTTGCTTGGTACAAAAGTCTCAATTCAGTGCATTTGCATGCAAAATTCGTACCCTTTAACCACCTACATCTAACTACCTTTCGTTCGTTTATATACTCTCTTCCCATATGTTGTATTATTGTTCATCTAAGTATTTTCCGCTTTCTGCAGAAATTCGCCTTATATACTCCTGAGATTTTTCATTTGCCCAAATCAAATGCCTAAATTTGGCATTCTATAATTTCACTCAAGTAAAAATTCACATATAATTTTTAACTTGTTTTGCTTAACTCGATAGATGTGTTTTTCTTAAATACTTTCACATTCTCTAATTTTGCTCATCTACACACCTTACGCTGGTGTGGTTTTCTGATTCATTTTTAAATATGATACTCCAATCAGCGAGATTTCCAGAAATGGCAATACGATATCATACTCGCCCCATCCACGTCCAAAGGTAGATATCTATCACGAGTAAGTTAAAAAGGACTTATATTTTTTATAAACTTAATAACCCATATGATGCAACAATTAAATCAAACATGACTTAGAGTATTCACTGAAGATTGAATTATTTGTACTTATTACTGAAACACGTTGAATTGCCGGTAAGTTACTGATAAAGTTCATTAACCATAACTTTCAGTCAAGACTCTGATCTCTTCATGACCTGTATTATTACTGTTATGAAACTGAAGCCAGTAATTTCAAAATAGAAAGTCTAGTAGATGTATATTTACGAATTTTATAGCATTCTAACCGATGAACTGAGTGATTGTTTATTGTCCTCGCAATTTATTATTTCAGAGCTAATGCATATGGAATCCTTAGTTAGATTTAGTTGGCAGTATCGATTCCACTGTTGGAAGTCCAAAATGTGTTCAGAGTTTCGGAATACTGTTACCCATGATGATACTTTGATTTTAATCCGAGACCTTACTACTGAGGCAATCATTTTATCCCTGTTGTTTTCGTACTTGTTAAAGTCATTATCGTGGTCACAGTATTCTGTATAGTTGATTGTCTCCTTCAGAAATCAGTATCTTGTTATTCATGATGTAATAAAGAAGACGACAAATCTGTCATCTATGATTAATTAACTTTTTTATACAACCCCCTCTCTTTTCACCACCTATTCATAATCCATGGGGAGCTGATATCAACTAACCGCTCAACTGATAGGAAATTTTACCATTGATTCATGGTTTTATATGTTGTACTTGGTAGACATTGGAGTAGTTGTAGCTCCAGTACTTGAGTTATCTGCTTATGTGAACTTATGGTTTTGTGCCTTATGACTGAGCTTTTAGGACTGGTATACTTCCCCTCTCAAATGTCAGTGATTTAAATGTTAGACCTAATTGCACCCCTTAGCCTCATGCCGGCTACCAAGGCAAATGCTTATCCTTCTATGAAAGCTGCAAAAGTCACATATTTTCTTATATCTCAGGGTTAAATCATAACTTATGCTTCGACTGCCTTTTGACTTATTAAAAACTGGAGCTGAAATGCACTCACCAAGCTTGTGCCCATTCATATACACACTCACACTTATTGTATGAGAGCTAATGATACTAAGTGCTTCCTTATATCTAGGTAGGTTGAGCGGGGTTCGAACCCGTGATCTACTGTCTGAAAGTCATCTCCCTAAACCCCATGAAGCACAACTCCAAGATGATACAAAATACAAATGTAGACAGTTAGTTTGAAAAGAATGTTTTCAAGTTTGATGACAAAATAGCTAAAGTCATTATACTGAAAAACCATTTCAACTTCCCTTTATCTGACTATCCGTTTATGTGAAATATTTAGGTTTGCTAAATGCATGTGGTACGATCAAAGTTTAGACCACCCACATACTTTGTGTACCAGATGGCCAAACATTCAAGAGAACCTAAAACTGTAGGGAGTGAAAGAAAACTTTTGTCGAAATAAACAAATATGAATAAATATATTATAATTTTATGTCTTTCCTTTTTAAAATAATCACTTTCATTTTTTAGAGTTCCTGGGTATAACATGTACCAATATTAAAGACAGCTTACTGATGTTCTGGCCTACTTTATAATTCCTAACAGTTTCGGTGAGTGATTTTTACAGTCCTGTTACACTTAGATGAAAAAAGTTTAAAGTAAAAGGGCGCTGAAAATGAAGCGAATATTTCAATAAAATTCTAACAGATAGGAATGTATTTTATTTATTGAGTGCAGTAGAATTATTAATACTCTAGGGTATCGATTTCCACTAAAATGAGGGGTTTCTCAAAAACCTTAATTACTTCGATAAGTTTTGAGGATGATTTGAAAAACACATGCATGGTCATCTTGTGTAAATTCAAGTAGTAATTAAGAACTTATCTAGAGAAAGGTTTGATGGTTATAAAACGTTAGCGAAATACACTATCAAATACTAATAATGATAACAGTAATAATAATAGTCGCTTTATTCCAAATAAAATGTATGATACAGTATGAAATTCTCAGAATTTACTGTCAGAACCATCCGATGTGGGGCTAGTGCATTCAATTATTATTAATATTATTTCTCCTTTGTCGTTTGGGTTCCTGGTGGAACATAGGGATTCAGGAACACGTCACCATTTCACTCTGTTCCCTACAGTATTTTGAACCTGGCTCCACGACTCCCCACAAGCTTTCATTTCCTACTCACACCATCTCCTCCATGTCACCCTCAGCTGGGACGCCCAACTCGTCGTCTCCTCTTCGGGTACCACTCGACGACCTGGCCTGGCGCGTGATGTCCCCAATCAGTCTTCTCAGTGTGTACCCAATCCAACCCATCACCACTTTCTTCTGCATATTTGTTGGGCGATGGGGTCTTGATTGGTTCCTTACCAGCCAGAGTTCCTTGTTGCTTATTCTTATTGTTCTGGCCATCTGATCTCCGTCTTCATTATCGGGTGAGCGTAGACGGCATCTGTTGATGAATATCTGTCGTTCGTTGGAAATGTTTTTCATAACGCGCCAAGTTTCTGAACCATCACGTAGAAGCACTGACTCAACTGAATTAGTGTTGTAAATACGGATGTTGTTCACGCTTTATGCTGAGTGGAGTTGAGTGCAGTGCAGTAGATCTCTACACTGACTTCAGGTCACTGAAGGGCTGTTTTGCTGTTTTTCCGATCCTGGCTTTGACGTTCTCATCTGTGCCTGTGTCGCCTGTAGTTGAAAAAATGCTATCCTGCCTAGTTAGGTAGATGAAAGAGACAATCTCCTTTAGATTTCTTCCATTGATGGTGCTTGTTGTTGTTGTTGTTGCTGGTTGGGTATCTTCATCACCACCCTTTTCTTTACGTTCACCTGAAGAAAGTTCTGACTTCGCTGTCATACCTCTTCTGTCAACTTGTTGGTTTCTACTTGAAAATCTTCGAGTCTGTGCGGCAAGACATCAGGCATAAATCATCATGGGCGGAATCCAAATCTCCTTCTGAGGTCTTTTCATCGGTCCCCTCAGCGTATGCCCATTCTTTCACACCTGCTCACAGTATGTTGCATGATCCAGTCCAGTCAACCACAATCAAGAAGATCATGGGTGATAGTAGGCTGCAGCAGCCTTATTTACTCCTGTCTCCTGTCTTCACTTCAAAGGCGTCACTGAACTTTCCATTGTGGATCACTTGGCATATTGCAGCATACAGCATATAGCTGCTGTTGAATGACGTTGATAGAGGTTTGTAGCACGAAAACTATAGTGCTGAAGCTACTGCCGAATTACTTCTCGGTCGACGCTGTCGAAGGCCTTCTCAAAGAGAATGAAGTTGAGTTGAGATGACTGCCATTCTATGCTCTGTTGTATGATGATGCGTGGCGTTGCAATTCGATCGGACATAGTTTGTTATTCCTGAAGGCAGCCATTCAGCCTGTTTCAATCTTATTTTGAATGCAGCGCGTCCTTTACTCTCTCCAGGATTATGCGGCTCAAAATTGTGCTTGGGTGGACAGGGAGAGGAGCATTATTCTGCTTCAGTTCTTGTAAGGACTTAGGTCTCCCTTGTTTGGGGGTTTGACAAGGTAGCCCTTCTCCCAACGACTCGGCAGGTACCTATCTTTCCTTCTTTCCTTCCTTCCTTCCCTACAAACCTTGTGCAATAGTGGTTTGAACGTGTCCACCGTTGTCTGTGTGTCTGTTTTCAGTGCTTCTGGAGGGATTCCATGTGGTCCTGCTGCTTTCCTGGATTTCTGCAACTTTATGATGCAGCGTTCAGGACTTCACTCCCACTTTTGTCGGAGGGCTTGTGTTCACTGATAGTCCTGTGACTGGGCTGCTGATGGTATTTGTGGACGAGTTGCAGGTGGTGATGGTGATTGATTCAAGAGTTATCTGAAGTCCTCAGCCCATCGTTTCCTTGTTTCTCCTCTTCGGTAACTAGATTTCCTTCACTGTCTTTCAGTGGTTTCATCTGCGTTGATCTCCTCCCAGACAGCAAGTAACCTGGTTATTTGATACAGTGTTGTCAAGTCTCTCCTACCTACAGGCTGTTCCACTTCACTTGCCAATGTGTCGTAGGAGTGTCTAGTGTCTTTGCGTGCAATCTTCTCCACTTCTTTGCCCAGTATAGTGTTTTACAGGTTATGTTCAGTTCCTGTTTTCGTTGTTCATCCCTACACTGCACTGCACTAGTTCATCTTCTGCTTTACTATCCTCCTCTCTCTCCTCTTTCAGTTTCCGGGTGTCTGTCGAGATCCGTTCCCTGTCTTGCCGCTTCTTCTTCCTTCTTATACTGTTATGCAGGTTTTTTCTACATCTCTTTCACAGAGTCCAGTGTTCTTCCACGCAGGCTGCTTCTGGGATGTTGCTCAATGTTTCCCATTTTGTCCCGATGGCTAACTGACGTGAAGATGTCCTTTGAAGTTTTGTCCTTCAGTTTCTGTTGTGGGTGTTCAACTTGGACTGTGATCGACCATCACCAACTTCTGTGGAGGCTTTCCACTTGATTTTGAAGGTAGGTTCCTTGCACTAGATAGTGAAGTGAGTGGTGTGAACCTACATTTGCTCCCCTTCTAGATCTGATCTTGTGTCGAGTAGGCTGGCTGCGTCTCCACTTTCTTCACATTGAGATGAAGTCGATCTGATTTTTAGTGTAGTGTGTTCTGGTGTCTGGTGAAATCAAATCCATGTCGCTGCCTGTGAATATCCTTGTGTTTGTACAGACTGCCTGGTCTGCAATCACGAAATCGCTGAATGCGCAGAAGTCTGCAAACAGTTCTCCATTCTCATTCATCATTTCATCGAGTGCTTCTCGACCCATGGTTGCTTCTCTTACTGTGTTGTCTGCCCCCAGTTTAGCATTCATATCACCCAGTAGAATTAATTTCGATGTCGCCATCTGGGGTGTGGTGTTGTCCAGTGTTGATTGGAGTTGTCTGTAGAATTCCTCCTTCTTCTCTTGATCTACACTGTTTGTAGGTGCGTAGCATTGCATGTATGATTGTGACTCTCTTCCTTTCGAGTTGACTCTGGTTGTCGTGATCCTACAGGGGGAGATAGGTTCCCAATTCAAGAGAGAGAGAGCATTCGATGCTGTTGGGACATCATGATAGCCACTCCATAACTCAGTGTACTGTGGTTGTCGTCTGGGTGAAAATACCGGAGTAGATTATTAACTCTCCAGTTGACAGTTTTGAGAGTTCACTTTTATTTCACCTGCTTTTGCAGATTCCTAGCACTTCTATGCTACGCCTTCTCATCTCTTTTGTAATCTCGATAGCCCTGCCAGTCAGCTTCAAATATAGTGCGGACATTCCACATCCCCATGTTACTTTTGCTTTCATCGAGAGAAGCGAGAGCACATCAGCCAATCGGCTTCTCGAAGGCTTTCACCAGCTGGCGTCATTTCGTCTCCTCGATTTAAGAGGGGAATGAGTTTGCTTTTATTTTTATATTTTGTTTGTGCTTTGAAGTTTGTTTAGCGACTGGATTGGTTTTCTGAGGTAGGGTTGCTAGCTGTCTGCCCAAACCTTCCCTCTTTACTCGGGCTTCGGACCCGCTAGCAATTAGTGAACTAGTAAACTAGGCGAGGTCACACTGTGTGATAAATCTAATGAACCAATAGAAGTGTCATTACATTCTACCACAGTGCACATATTTGAATCTTATATTTCCTGCATACTGTCAATATTTAAAAACAGATTACTGTAGTTCTAATATCAGTCTGTCGATGGAAAATATCCTCCAGATGTTTAATAATATCTAGAAACTATTTTGTAATATTCGGTTTTGATATAATCTCAGCTTGTTTAGGAAATCGAAAAAAGATTTTTCTGAACTTTTCTGTGTTCATGCCACAGCTTTTCCAGCAGAATATTCAGATTATCATAAAACTTTATTATATAATGAATGAACCTGAGTGGGTGCTCAACTTCTTTCGGGACATTCGTAACAAATATGGCCTAGATGTTGATAATAGAAACTATTTTGTTTATTTAGACTACCCGTGCTTCTAGCTACTGAAAAGAAAATATAAATTAGGGAATATTTTTTACCAACTGGTGAATATTTTGGCTTTTTCGTAGATGACAATGTTATTTCTGTGCTCATATTATCCAAAACATATAATGACAAGTAAGCTCAGACACTTGTAATGGTGCAGCGTTTGGATATGCTAACTTGTTACTTCTCAACGAAAAATATCCGAGTTAAGCAAATTTTCAGCATTATAACTTCGACAGTAATGTGAATAATTTAAACCATTTGCATTAATGGGATTCGTTGTTTGGTAACCAAGCACTTGATGATTTAAAGAACCTGAGTAGAAAGAAACTAGTAGATAATAAATATTTTAAATTTGTGATACAGAGTCTCATTTTGGGTCAGTATATTTATGACATGTCATCACGCACGCATGCAAAATGAAACAAAATCATAAATATAAGTAAATAAATAAGTTTAAAATACCCAACAATGTAAGAAACTGTTACACATATCACTTAAAAAACATAATTGACTGACAAAAACTGGAACCACTGGAAACATTTGGATTTCGTGAATATCAGTAATCATACGGTTTTCGTTTG